TCCAAATGTACTCAAGTCAGCAGGACCTAATGCCTAATGTTCTAATATGTATGGTGAAATCTAGTGCAAGGATCATCCACAGCCATTGCCTGGCTTCAAATATTCATGATTCTCCACAGTCCACAATGCATTAAAGGTGGGAATGATGCCAGCAACACACAGTCTTCCTAGCGACAAGGAGCCTTCTCAGATCATGGGAGCATGATGTTAAAGACTTCAGACTAAACTGTCTTTGTAAGAGATACTCCCAAAAGGAATGCCAAATCCCACACCCTGTTTCAGATATGGAACGTCAATGAAATAAAGAAAAAAATAGATTCTCATTCATTTACTCTTCTCAGCTCACTTTACTGATACTACTTTGTCTCTCTCCTTTCTCGCCATTGCAGTCTGAAAAGGATGCTATGCGTTAAAACTAGAAAACATTATTAATGCTTCAAAAATAAAATGACTACTGAGGAATTAATAGCATTTAAGCCAATATGATTTTGCTAATGGAGCCTGAATGGCATATAGAGAATAATACAAGGGCACAGTTAGAATGGAAGTAAGAGCTATAAGATCTATATGTAAGAAGCAAATACATACAATAATTGAAGTTGTCCCTTTATGTCATTTGTCACCCAGGCACATCTGCTCTTACACCTGTGCTCCTTTTCTTGATCTATCCTGACACCTTGGAAATGTTAGGCATGCAGCCAATTTCACACCCAGCCATTCTGATGATCAGACCAAGCTACTGACTTCCTTATTCTCACATTAAATCAAGCATCAACCCCAGGGCTCTGAACTACTTCTGACTGACAGGACTAACAGAAAGTTCTAGGCTAATTACTTTTTAGGATTAGTTCCCAGCACAAAGTGGTACTACTGACCTACTTCAGACTTACTGAAATAATTTATCTGGTAACATAATTAAGAGAACATAAAGCTGTTTCTAAAACCAACCAAGTATTGGAAATATTTGTTGAAATCATAAGTTGGTATTCCCAGTGCCATCAGATGGGGCTTTATTACTTTGCAATGAGTCAAGTTTATTATGTTTGACTTATCAGCCGTTCTTTTACTTTATAAATTATATTTGACAGGATGTATTTGAGAGTCTCTTTGATGCATGGCTGTATTCGTTTTGACTTTTTTCAGTCTAGATATAAAGAGAAACAATCTTTTAAGCCCTTCTTTTCATTTTGTCTTAACCCTGCCCCTAAACAGGACACGCATCCCTTTGCACAGCTATTCCAATTATTTTTGAAGTCTATCCTAAATAAAGGGATGCTCGGATTAGAGCGTGGCTGCATATGTGGTATGGACCGCTTACCATATGGACTTTTAATTCTCTATTTTGAAAGCTTAATTCTTTCTGACATTTAGGTAAGTATCCATAACTGAATAATTTTTTATGGTCTTTCTTTACTACTGAGAATACTTGACCATTTTCTGATTTCCACTCCCTTAATGTTCTCCATAAGAAGAAAAAGACAAGAAAAAAAACCTTGGAATAAAATTATGGAACATAAGTGAGAGGGTTATATGAGTTTATAAGTCACATGTTTTTCTCAAAAGAAAGGCATTAAAATGTTAGGAAAACATTAGTACATGGTTTATCAATGCCATTGTCTAATTAGTATTTTTTCTCCTTTTCCTCCACCTTCCTTACTCCTCTCCCTTTTATTTACTTTGTCTTTCCCATGTCCAGTGAGACTTGCTTCTTAACACAAAAAATCATCTAGATAACCATGAAAACAAGGTCAGTTTATTGTGTATTGGCTTCTTGATTCTAACAAAGATTTATCATCACCTAGAAAGTACCTGAGCACCTTTGAAAAACTAGACTAAATCCTTGCAGTGAAATGGAAGATATTAATTTCTTAGGCCAGGGTTAAAGAAAGATCAGGAGTTAATTTTTCAGCTTTGTGTGAAAATTGCAGATACAATAACAACATTATTTCTAAGTAGTATTTCTTCACATCTTGTTATTCATATTGCAAGGTTGAGGAAATGTATATGCATAAAATTGTAGTTTGGTGTCAGAGAAGAAAAATAATACAAAACACTGAGTTGTATTCTTTGCTGCCACACAACATATGCAATGTTTTATGTTTGCAAGAGGACCTGGCTTTGGTTTCACCCAAAATCAATGGCACATCAAAGCTCTCTTGAATCAGCTGATGGTATGAGTCAGATCACTACCCTATTGCTTCCTGTCTTACTTTATAGTGTCTTTAATTCCATGCCTATTTAATTTCATTTATTGCTTTTTTTCTGTGTCCTTTAAGTCTTTCCAATTTGCCCTTCATGGCTATAACTAAATATAGTATGTTAACATCCAAAGGTATTTATGTAAATGAAAATCAATATGCTTATCATTTCAGCACCATTCCTCATTGCTTACATTGGACATTTTAAGTATATTTTATTTAAATGCTAAGAACTTTTCATTCCTGCCTGGAAAGTATAACGATCTTCCTGGCTCCTTGCCCCCTGCAGCCCTCTAATCTTCACAGCTATAGCCACTTAGCCCCATCTGGAGGTTCAGCCTTATTCTGCATTTTGGAACTAATCTTGTCTCTAAACTGGAGGTGTACAAGATATCCTTAGCCAGAAGCTAACTGATTCAACATCTAGTCAGTCTTGCTGCATTCTGACCTTGTAATTTATTTCTGAGATCCAGGTGCTTGTCCCAGCCCCTGGTAACCAAGGCTTGGCTTTCTGAGCCAGTTCTGGCAAGTATTTCTCCATCTCTCCTGCATCAGTCCCTGACTACTTCTAATTGGTATCTCATTCCTCACTGACTGGGGTTCTACCTTGGCTTTCTCTCTGTTTCCTTTATGATTCAGTTTCTTTTTCAAACTCCAGTTGCCATGGCTGTTGAATCTGCCTGGCTCCACTGGCCTAGCGCCTATCTCCTTGTACTGTCTGCCTGCACACCATAGACCTGACCTTTTGCTAGGAGACCAGGAGTGACACAGACTGTCTGGACATTTTCCTTGTCTGCTGAAGGCATCGCCCTTGTCCACAGCTCTGTTCTAACCCTGCAGGTCTTGAGTCACTGAATCTAAGCTGCCTGCAATCTGGCCATCTCATTCCAGATGTGACAGGAAAAAAATGTTATTTGAACTACATCTTTGGTTGAACTGTTATGCTAACCTCTTCTAGGTCCTTTTGCCTCGTTTCTCCATCTTGGCTCTGCCGCTTAAATGCTTTAAAACTCAGTGCCCTCTTTGTAAAGTGAGATCACAACGAAATATACTCCTAGGCTTATTTCGAAGATAAATGGGAAAAGCTGCATACAAATGGACTAACCCTAAAGTAAGCAATTAGTAACATTTACCGGATATTATTATCTCACTTCTTAAATATTTGCACCTGTAAAGTGGAACTATGTTACTTAAAGATGACCAGTAATGACATGAGAAACTAAAGGAAAAATGTGAATTTTTTATAAGTGAAATAATTGACAGCAAGATATTTAACAGCTTTAAAAATAATGTTGAACTATAGAAGTTTTAAAAGTACATTTTCTGTAAAGGTGTCCTAATATACAGAACCCTAAAGCATTTAGGGAGGAGAAAGCTTCTTTAAGTCAGTCATTTATTTTAGAGCAGTATTTTGTGATCATTTGGGGAATTTGATATAAGCAAAATTCTAAGTCTCACTTTTCTGAAATCACTCATTAATTTACCCCAAGAACCCCAGTTTGCTCAGCTGGAATGCTCGACTTAGTTTGTACTTGAAAATATTTTAAGGGCAGATTGTTTCACTCTTGCCAAAATTACGTTGCCTTAATTTTTTTTCTTCTTGTCTCTTAGATGAATTGTCCCTTCCCCCCACACAAGTTTGATCAAAAGGATTACCTTGTTTAAATTAACATGTAATTCACATATAAGACTGTATAAATTTAGGATGCAGAACATGTTGATTTGATGCATTTATATATTGCAATATGATTACCATCACGATGTTAGCTAATGCCTCCATCAGGTCATATACCACTCCTTCTGGTGGTGAGAACATTGAAGATTTACTCAGCCAGTTTGATCAAAATAAGTGTTAAGAGCTCTAGGCAAGCACAGTCTGCATTTTAAAGGAAACAAAGGACACCATACCTGAAAGATATGGATAAAAGCCAGTGAGTGAGAGAGGAAGAAGGAAGAGGGGAGAGGGGAGAGAAAGGGAGTGGGAGGGAGATGAAGAGGGGGGAGAGAGAAAGAGAGGGGAGGAGGAGGGGGAGCAGAGGGGGAGGAAGAGGGAGGGGGAGGGGGAGGAAGAGGGGAGAGGGCAGGAAGAAGAGAGGAAGAAAGAGGGAGTGAGGGAGAGAAAGAGGGAGACAGAGAGAGAGCCTCATCCTACTATCATGCCACAAAGACCTCTGAATTCTGGGTCATTCACTTTGGGTATGATCAAGGCTGGACCGAACAAATGTCCATGCCCTAGAAGACTAATATTTTGGGACTTATTCAAATTGATAAATATTATTCATAATTTGTTCAGCTTATCTATACAGGAGAAGCTGAGTATCGCTTGGGTGAAGGGAAAAGCTGAGCCTAGAGGGTGGCTCAGAGATCACTCTTTGCTTTCCCATATTCCCAGCTCAGCTACAGGCATGCATAGGCATACCCTTAAATAAAATCTCTGGTTGCCCAGATCCACCATCTTCGAAAGCTGATCAGCAAGTGTCCATTGTTTCTTGACCATGATTTTTGAGAGACGTTCTGGTAAATATTCTCTCTATCTCTTAACATTGACAGTATTCGGGAGCCTCAGTGATATCTTTTTATATCTTGCCAAATGAAGCGGGGCAGCCAGGCAGCTGCTTGGCTGGCCCAACTCTTAATTCAGTTTCAGAAATTCCTTGCTGTTATTATAGTCTCATTTCTCCCCCTTAGGAACTAGGTAAGAAAAATAAATGCTGAGAATGTCTTCTTTAGAAAATGATTAAAGAAGTAAAAAGAAATTAATTATCATTATTTTGTTTAAAAGAATAAATACAAGCACATTACCAGACGTCTTCGGCATCTTCGTCACATTCTGCACCGAACTGGCAAATATCACAGGTGGATGTCTCCTTCTGACTGGTTTCTCCTGAGCCTTCATGGACTGTAGGACAGAAAAGGAAACAAACATAATTCAGGTAAGTGTGCGTGATATCAACAACTCTAGGACTATATTAAAGCTGCTACTTTTCCAATGGACCTATTCGCTATTAAGGCTTCATAAGAATGTCATCCTCAACTCCTCTCTTCTCTAAATTTAAGGACAACTCTAACAATAATATGCCAACCATTGGTATGTAGTGGACATTTCAGCTTTTACAAGCAAAATAAAACTAATGAGAGTTTACTGGATTTATCAAAATTGTTCAGCTAATAAATAAACCAAGTGAAAGTTATTTATGAAAAGAGATTTAGATTAATGTCTAATTTATTTTAAAAATACCTAGCATTTTCTCATTTCTAAATTATAGATTTTTTTCATTCACAAGATTTTATACATAATTTAAAAAACTTATATGGTTGGCCTTAACTTATTAGATATATCTTTTCTCCCCCTTAAGATGTTAAGTACTTATAAGAAAGAAAATGTTGATTATCTTTTTAGAAAACAGATTTCAGTTAGTTTGTACAGTAAGTTCTTGAATCTTACATAAATATGTCATAGAGCCCATTACAGCGATTTCTGAGAATTATGAACATATATCAATTAAAAAATATATGGTCATTGATGATGATTATTGATATTAGTCTTCTTTTCTCCTCAAAAATTACAATTATAACAATATACAATGTGTAACCTAATTATAAAATTAACTTCTCAAAATCAGGACATGATAGTGAAAATCAAGAAAAACTTTCTAGCATTTTGAGTCCAAATAATAAAAATCTCAGCAACACTTTTGCGGTGATGAATTATTGTTTATCCAATTAAAAAAAACTATTGAAAGCAAAAATCGTTTTCTTCGTAAATGAAAAATTGCAACAACCTAACTACTGCATAGATAATTTTATTCCATGAACAGATCATACATTTAGAAACAAATGTTTAAATCAAGATCTTTAAAAAGTGCACTTCTGCTAAAGGTCATGTATTTTTAATAGAAACAGAGTGTAAGCAATCAAGTATGGCATTAACTCCTATCTCTATGAACCTTAATAAAATAAAATTTTAACAAAGACATAATTTATTAACATGCACCCTGAACCTAACAAATCCAACCTTACTTATTTTCTTTTAATAAGCTATCTTCTCATTGTTTTTTCTTTGTTTACAAATAAGAGTTTTAAAAATTTACAAAAGCGAAGGTCTTTATTCCTTGATTTTATTTTATTTACTGCTGTGCAGATAAATGGTTTAATTTTTTTAAAAAAGGACAAGAAGACATCTCTGTAAGTACTCTATTTTATAGTTTTTCCAGGAAAGGTCCATTTATTTTTTTCAAAGCATTTTTTCCCCCTGTACTTGACTATTTGCACTTATATTTAAAAAGTTATGAATTAAACAGATTAACTTGAATTGCAAAAGTATTCGTGATAGGGTTTTATATGTGCAAGTCTTAAAAAAGAAAGAGTTCTCCCCAGAAAGAAAGGATTTTGAACTCTGATAAGATAGACAGCACTTATTATCCTATTACTTTAATACAGGCAAGACCATTAGAGTGGACCATGGGGATAAGAAGGAAGCTGGGGTCTCACCTCAGGGGAGACTGAACAGCTGAGGTTTGTTTCTTTATTACTTTCTTATTATTAATGCAACACAGAAGCTGCTAATGGGAGAGAGCCTTTTAGTGTTAGCAAGATTAGCGGCTTCCAGACTAAAACTTCCCATCACTCAGGAAACGCACTAACGCGCAATGGGAAGGTCCTTAATGAACAGTTACAGTCACTTAGGGGCAGCCCCGTTTTCTTTAGCAGTTGAGATCCTTGGTTAGGGATCTACTGGAAGTAACCCAGGGGATAAATTGTGCTAACTCACAATTATATACAATAGTATATACACAATATTAACTACATTATATATGATAATACATTAATCAAAATAATATATAATAGTGGTATTTATTATAAGAATTTACATATAGCATATATAATAGTTAAATATAGTACATATTACATGTACACACTATGATATATACACTATACTATAATATATTACCTAAGTATTATCATAATGAATTTAGGAAGTGCTCCCACTTTATGAGAGTTTGGTTATGACAGTATTATTATTTTGTTTCTTCATAAAAGCTATTTAAATTTTCAATTTTATTGATTTCTGCCATTATTTATTATTTCCTTTGTGTTATACACACAGGTTTTAATTTGTTATTTTTATAGTTTCTGAAAGTGGAAGAAGTACTTGATTTTATGCCTTTCTTATTTTCTAATATTTATAGTTAAATCCATACATTTCCTTATAAAGGCTTTTTTAGCTGTATCCCACAAATATATTGTGCTGTTATGTATTTTTGTTTTATATATATATAAAACACACATACACACACACTAGTAATATCTTTCAAGATTTTTTTCTCTAACCCATGGATTATTTCGTGAGTGTGTTTTTTAACTTCCAAATATTTGAGGGTCTTTCAAAGTATATTATTTTATTCATTTTAATTTAACTATCATGATTAGAGAATATATTGTTTAAATCTTTTGAAATTTACTGGAACTTGTTTTATGACTGAGAATATGGTCTACTTCCTTGAATAATTCATGTGCATGTGAGAAGTTGTAACTTCGTGTGGGGAGTAATTCCCTATAAATGTTACTTAGTTTAAGTAGATGGTTAGTATTGTTCACATGATCCATAACTGTACTGATTTTTAAATTGTCCTATTACCGAGAAAGAAGTGTTAAAATCTCTGTTAGTTACAGTAAAATTGTTTCCTGTTCTCTTTTGTTTTTTCTTGTATTTGGGAGCTTTGATAATGGGTGTAGAAACATTTAGTAGTCTTACACCTTCTTAAATAAATGACCCTTTCCTCATTATAAGATGAACCCTTTTAATCTCTAGTAATACTGTCATCTTGAGTCTACTTTGTTCTGATATTCATAGAGCCACATCAGCCTTCTTTTCCTTATTATTTCTATTCTTTTACACCCAACCTGTTTGTTAACATATTTAAAGTGTGTTTCTTGACAGACTCAAAGATACAGGGTCCAGAGTAATGGTGGCCAGAAGGGAGGGGCGTGAGGGGCTGGGTGAAAAAGGCGAAAGGATGACGAAATACAAATTAGTAGTCACAGAATAATCATGAGGATACGCACACGCAGATGTATATAAAACAGCATAGGAAATACAGTCAAAAATATTGCCATAACTATGTATGGTGCCAGGTGGGTACAGGAAATTTTAAGGGAACACTTTGTAAAGTATATAATTATAACTGAAAAATAAAAAAAGATAAAGTGTGCTTCTTGGAAACATGTAGTTGGAGCTTGCTTTTTAGATTCAGTCTGAATATGTCTGCGTTTGTTAAGGCATTTAGTCCATTTACTTTAAGGTGATTAATTTTGGGGTTTTTCTTCTGTTGCTATTTTGGTGATTGTTTTAGAATTACAATATGCATCTTTAAATTATCTTAATCTATTACTTAATGAACAATTTAAGAACTTTGTGAAAATATATTTACAGTCCACTCTTTGCATTCTTACTGTCATGTATCATACTTCTATGTTTGCTGCAGAATTCATGTTCTTTTATAAAATTAGTTTTATTTAAACAGCTATCTCATTCTGTGTTCATTTCAAAGGCAAAAGCCAGAGAGTTCAGTGTTAATGAAGACTCCAGCCTGCTACTGTTAAGTGAGCATTTGACTTCTGACATGCATTCGTTTTAACTTTTTAAGACTTACCTATAGTCTCACATTGCCCATGGAAGACACTATTGATATATGACATTTATAGTAGATTGCATTATTTTTTCCAATTATTTTTCCACCCTCTCCAATAAAAGAATTATATGTTCCTTTCTATAGTCACATAACTTGAGTTCCATGATATCACTTGGTCTTATGACTTGCTTTTGCCATTGAAATGGGAGTAGAAGTTGAGAAGCTATATAAAAAAGGGAAGGGAAGGGGAAAGTCAAGGAACATATAGCAAGGACTCATGGACAAAACCAAAGGGAAAGAGCTGAGGGAGGGAAGGTGGGAGGGGGCAAGGGTAAGAGGTGGGGGGGAGGCAGAGACAAATGTATTTAAAAAGTAAATAAAAAAAAAACCATCATGTGGATTTCTTGCTCTGCCCCTCTGCATTAAAAACAAATAAACAAACAAAAACACACACACATGCACACAAACAAAGCAGATTCTAGAGTAGGAGCTGTTTTTTCAGCCAGATCCAGAATGAGAAGATACATGGTACAGAGCCACCGTTGACCCTAGCTGTAGGAGCAAGAATTTTTTTGCCACTGATCCTGTAAGCCTCTGAGGTTCTGAAGTCATTTGTAACTATGGCTTACCTACTTAAAGGTGCCTAATAAGACACAGATTAATGTTATCAATAAATTCTAAGAAAACATACTTTCAAGTCATTTTCACATCTCAGCTTTTGGTTGCACCATTTTTCTACACAACCCTAGATGTTCTTTTAATTTTCTCCAAATCTTCCTTAAAATTTTTACCATTTCTTTTCTATACCAGCATATATTCTGCAATGTTTAAGGCATGTTTCTTCTATTATATTTTCATTTTTTCCTCAACAGAACACTGCCTTTTCCTGCCTATACATGGTTTTCATTTTTTCCTCCATGTGGCTCTCATACATCTCTTTGACAGATATAAAAGGTTGCCATTCAAATTAAGGAAGCATAAACATCAAACCCACTGAAAAACATAAATGAATAAAAATCTCCACACGTACCAAGACTGAAATAAAGTAGGCAGTCCTTGAAATTATCTGATTTTATCAACAAAGACAATGAGATTTCTAAGCTTAAATATGACCCATAAACACTGTTCTATACTCATTTTAAGTTGAGAAAAAACATTTACACAAATTTTATGTAGGCCTTCATCTGGATTTTTTTCAATATTTAGGAAACAATTTTCTCTTTCTATTTTAGAGTCAATGCCAATCGAGAACTCAGTGTTTTTTTCT